TAGGCTTCAGTCTTTACTCTTTAGTTTTACTTACGTGCACTCTTGTCAACCCAGTACTCACATTCTTAAACCCCCCCCCCCCCCTCAAAGTAACCTTTACAATAACTATTTCGGATTCCTGTCTGATTCAATATCGAAATACAACGGGTACCATCTACCTTTGCATCTTTTAGTTGCTCCGAAAGTGAAAGTGTTTCCCAAATGTGGTTGATTCCACGTGTGAAGTAGTCTTCGTTTAGCATCGTCCTCAAATTCAAAAGTGCAGGGAGCAATAGCTTCACATTTCACTTTGTTATTAACTTAACCGAGGCGTTTTCCCATTTACTCAGCTAAACGAGAGTAATTTACCTTACCTGAAAATGTGTTCTGTTGTCCAAATTTTCATCTTATAAAATGTTAAGTAAATATATGAATTCGTCACTCCTTCAAATTATGTTTCTAGATATATATATATATGTATAAAAAACAGCGCCCTCCTACTTAAACTGAAGGAACGAGTAGATCAGAGCAATCATTGATCGTGTAACGCCCAACTTTATCTGTGACGTTTCAAAACGTCTAGAAAATACTTCAATATGATTGGCTTTGATAGATTGCTGGAAAACCAACATTTCTTACCGTTCAGAGAGGGTGAATATCGTTTTAAATATGTGGTAGTTTTAGTTGTTGTTTTTTTTACTCATTACAGTGAACATATGTTTATATAAAACTTGAGTCTGATGGCTTATAATAACGCTAAAAATCAGGTTTCAGTATTAGCAATGGGCACAGCACAGATAGCATAATGTGTAGCTTAATGCTTAGTGAATATACAAAAAAACGCTCTTTAAAATGCTGAAAATGAATAAATACGCATCCCAATCTATTGTTGCGTCAGCGAGGTCACGTGACTAGTGTCACGCCCCCTGCTTTCTGGAAATATCTTGTACCTTCGTGAATTGTCGGGAGATTACTAGATATAGGGTAGTCTGGTATATATTGTTACGTCTCCGTGTGTTAATTGATTTTTCCGTAACTTCGTTCCGACGAAATTTTAACGACACAAGTCTTTACTTAATAAAACTGATTTATTCTTTCCGAA